TAAGTCAAAAGCAGACAGAGTGTTTTCCCCTTGATCTTTGCGTAAATAGTAAGGTTTTAGAATTTATTTATGCATCCCAAAATAAAAGAATGGAAATGTATTGTCTTCACAGGTTGTATTTAATAGCAAGTCATATCTTGTGCATATCATGAGATGAAACAACTGATGATTTTTAGAAGTCTTTTTTTGTTACTGTCAGTGGCTGGGTAGATATCAGTGATGAATGGTATCTGTCAGAGATCTCTACTGGGATTGATGTTCCTTGATACCTTCATCCATGACAATAACAGTGAGGTCAAGTGCACTCCCAGCAAGTTTGCGGATGACTCCAAGATGTGAGGTGTGGTCAATATGCCCACGAGATGGGATGCCATCCAGAGACACCCAGATAGGTTCAAGCAGTGGGCTTAGGAAAACCTGATGAGGTTCAACAAACCGAAATGCAAGGCCCAGTCCTGCACCTGGATCATGGCAGCCCCACTACTGAAACAAGCTGGGGGATGAAAGGATATTAAACAGACCAGCTGAAAAGTATTTGTGAGTACTGGTAGATGATAAGCTGAACATGAGCCAGCAATATGCTTTCTCAGGCCCAGAATGCCAGTTGTATCCTGAGTTGAATCAAAAGAAGTGTGGCCAGCAGGGCAAGGGATGTGATTCTGCCCCTTTGCTCTGTGCTGGTGGGTTCTCACCTGGAGTACTGTGTCCAGATGTGGAGTCCTCTGTACAGGAGAGACATGGACTTGTTGGAGTGCATCCAGAGGATGGCCACAAAAATGATCCAAGAGATGAAACACTTCCCCTATGAGGACAGGCTGAAAGAGCTGCAGCTGTTAAATCTGGAGAAGAGAAGACACTGAGGTGACCTGATAGAGGCCTTTCAGTATCTAAAGGGGAGCTACAGGAAGGAAGGGAACAGATTCTTTAGCAAGATCTGTTGTGATAGGAAAAGGGAAAATGGTTTCATTTTATATATATGGAAAAAAAAGTTATAGTACGGGTAGTAAAGTAATGGATGTCCCATTCCTGGAGGCATTCAAGGTAAGGTTGGACAAGTGTCTGAACAACCTGATCTAGCTGTACATGCCCCTGTTTATTGCAGGAAAGTCGGACTAGATGACCTCTAATAGTCCCTTCCAACTCAGATGATTCTATGATTCCAAATAAATAGATGGCAATGTCACTATGGCAACTTAAACAATACTCAATACCAATGTTTAAGCACTGAATTGAAGGCTTGATTTCTATTTATTTATTTATTTTGCATGTTATGAGAATTGAGATACATAACTCAGATGTAATCTATAGGTCAGGAAAATTGTTATTCCCCTTTACTCAGCATTCTTTACTCTGTGTCTGGAGCACTGCCACCAGTTTTGGAGTCCCCGTATGGGAATACATTGATGAGCTTAAGGGAGCTTGGCATAGGGCCATTTAGGTGTTCTGAGAAGATAAAAAAAAATCTATAGCAAATCAGGTCTGAGTAAATCAGGTCTAATCAGATTCTGGAGCACCACTTTTGTAGAGCACTGGAGAGATCTTCCCCTAGCATGCTGCGTGCATCCTGCCTATTAAGAGGTTCCTCCTTCCTTCCATGTCATGGAGCCTCTTCTTTTGTATAGCAATCATATATCTTCTTACAGGCTAGAATGCCATCTGCATAATAACACTAAGCAAAGGATTTAAGTGTAAGGCCCAGCAGAGTAGAGATGGCCTAGTCAAGATTCCTAACTCCTTGAATATAATGTCTTCTGCAGGGCTCCTGGTGCAATGTGTTCAGCCTGGGGGAGAGTAGGCTTTCAGAAAGCCTAGTGCTGTCCTTCCAGTACCTATAGGGAGGCTCAGTGTGAGGCTGGAGCCAGATTCTTCACTGAGATGATGGAAGAAACATGAGAGACACGGGTCAGAAGCAGGGGAGGTTCTGGTGGCACAGAAGGAAAGCTTTTTTACTACGACAATTAGTAATTATTTTGAACAGATTATCCAGGAGTGTTGGGGGATCTCAGTTTTTGGAGGTTTTCAAGGTGTGACCCAACAACTGCTAAGTAAACTGGTCTGAATTCAGTGTTGACTCTGGTTTGAGCAGGAGGTTGGAAAAGAAGCCCTCCAGGCTGAACGACCATGTGATTCTGAAATTCTAAGCAAACACCTAAATTTAAGTGTCTTAATTTGTGAGCTGAATCCTTCCCTACCAGCTACCTCACAAACATTAGATGAGAGCCCACACTGAGAAATTCAACAGAAGTTAATTACAATGCACATTCCCACTCTACTGAAAGTAAATAATTTAGGGAAAGAATTTAACTTGGACAGATAGGATTGGGAATGATACAAAGCTGGGCAAGAGGAAGAAGAACAATCACAGTAAAAGAACAGCTAAGTCTGCTTAAACATTTTCATCTGTTATTCTGTTTTTCTTTTCACAGACAGTTATATTCCCAGAGTGGAATCAGTTTCAGTATAGCATTATCCTAAATGTCAGCTCGTGTGCATGAGAAGACTGGAAAGAGCGCAATTATAAACTTGTGAAACCATTAACATACATTGAACTAATTTTAGGCAAAATGAAGTGGAGTCTTACATCACTAGGACAATTTGTACAAGAAGGGCCCCTCCCTTTTTATAAACATGACAAAAGTTATGCGTTGCAGTGTGCTTGCCCTTCAGCCCGTGTCCACATGCTGGGTCTGACACCTATTACAGCATGTGTGCTGCCCAGGCTCTGTGTGTTCCCAGGGTTCTTGCTGTCCTAGGTGTAGGTGAAAAAGCATGTTTTCTCAAAATACATCTATTCATACATGATACATTGTGAAAATTGTACAAATATTATTGTTGTACTATATTCTGGTTAGTCTTCCAATACTATCCCACAAATAACTTGTGTTTCATATTCTAGTATTTTTAGACATAATTCCTTGATCATCTTTCAGATCATGAAGTGTAAATTTATCTTCTTTACCTACCCCGGTCTTTGTTTTCTATTCAGCATGTTCATGTTTCAATTCACTTAGTTCTAACACTGCCTACATGTAGGTGTTTATTCAGCCTGCTGGAATAACAAAGAACATGCCTGGTTTTTTGTTAATTCGTACAGTGAGGTTGTCAGGGTAAATGATTCTGGAGCACACACCTGGAATTTTGTCTTCACCTGAAGGTAGAATTGAAGATCCCAGTCTGTGCTGCAGCAGAGTGCTTGCAACCAGAAGAATTGCCTGACATTCTCAGTCTGTGGTCAACTGAGTTATTCTCCTGAAAGTTACTGAGCGAAGGATGAAGGGAAAATCATTTGTTCCCTTGTAGTCTTGCTGTGCTGCATCCCACTACTTGGGATGTATTACAGACTGGGTGGAAAATAAATAAAATAATGGAATCTGAGTTTGTTACAGAAAGCCTTCCAATTAGGAAAAAATTATCAGGTATAGTAGATTAAGTGGTTATGATTCATAGTCTTTGCAACATGATCATAGACAGAAGCTGTTAGAGAGGCTCAGGCAGCTGCAGTAGTGTTCAGACAAATCTGGTCTAAGGGTACTAATAGCTGCTGTCAGTGGCAAAATTTATGGACACTGTTCTGCTTGTCTTTTGTCTGCTTTCATAAGCTTAGCCTTGCTTGAGGTACTAATGTCAGTCCCATAGTGAGATGGAAGGGGAAAAAAGATGGAGAGAGAAAAGAAATGGCACTGTGTGTACAAACCTTTGGAGTCTCTCAGCATCATATTATGCATTTTGCCCTACCCCTGTCTGTTGGTGAAAACATTCAGTGCCAAGGAAATGTAAATCTGTAAATGTGACTCCGCAGCTGCTTTTATAATATAGTCTTGATCACAATGATAAATCAAGATAGATGTAATATACTGTATATGTATACTGTGCTATTCACGTAGCGTGGACAGAATTATGACCTAATCTGTTACCTCTTCAGAAGAACTTCAAATTACCACTCTTCTGACCTTATCCAAAAGGATATGAGCGCTCTATCTTTAGAAAAGTTTGCATACAAATATGTGTTATCTTTAATGTTAAATTAATTCTTTTTATTAAATCCATCTTTTTGTGATTGAGAGGACAGACTGAGGGAGAACAAATGAAATTAAATCAATATTGTTATTCTTATCTGCCACTACCAATATGCAGAAGTTACACTGAAAGAACAATGACACTCTTATGGTTGTGATACACCTCACTGCACAAAAATAAAAAGGATTAGACAGTGAAAAATGATCTCTCAGCCTTTAGCACTGTCGTTGAATAGACACCCTTAAAAAGTATTTTATTGTAATGACCTTTACTCAGTTGATTTTTCCACAGAATTTTCACTTCTTTTCCTATTAAATTCTCAGTAGACTCGTAGTCCTACTAAAATAATTTATTTTACATGTGTCATTTTTTATTTTACTTAGGAAAAAAAAAATCTGAAGCGCAAGTTCTTCTTGAAAGAAAGGCATTATTTTTAGGGAAGTAAAAACATTATTTTTCCCCTTCAGAATCAGGTGACTCAAAAAAACAAACAAGCAAACCAAACCAAACCAAACAAACCACTTTGGAAAAATGTATTTATTTGCCTCTGCTGCATTTAGGATGTGATCTTGCCCCAGGAACCCAAGGGACTGCAGTTATGATGCATCTGAGCTCAGGGGCCTAACTTTCCGTCTACGTACAAACATTCCTTCTGATTAAGCTGAAGCACACATTTCTGCAATGAATAAAAAATATTTGAACGTGCTCCCGAGAGTAATATCATTCAAGCATGATTTTGGCCACAGCTATTTACAAGTTAAGCTTTTGACTGAAGTGAGTAATTTAATTATGGAGAGCCTGTGAAGTTCTCCCTTTATTTATGTCTTTCGCCCACTTGTGTGGCTTGTGCTGCTATTGGCTCCGGTGCCGGCAGCCTACTCGATGACTCTGGAGTTACATAAGGCTCCACTCAGAGCCTATATAAAGCCTTTTTGCACTCCAGCAAGAGGCAGAATTTCATTGAGACACAGGTCCACTGCTTTAGTTCACACAAGCAGGAGGAAATTTGTTTGAAGATATCCTGAAACCTGAACCCGTGCTGGTTTATTGCTGGCTGGCACTTCAAAGCTTTCATCCTGAGTCGCAAGTAGCAGCTACTGGGAGTAGCTTTTGTGCACTATGAAGAATTTTTCATTTCCTATGCAGGATAGCACACATCAGACTGAAAGTCCTCCTCACAGATTTCTGAGTTTGACAAATAAGTCAGATCCCGTTGGAAGACCGGAAAGAGATGAGCAATTAGCTCAAGTAGAGATTGCTGTACTGGGGGTGATATTTCTGACAGCGTCTGTGGGCAATTTTATTCTCATTCTGGTGCTGTGGAGAAGAAGAAAGAAGCTCTCTAGGATGTATGTATTCATGCTGCACCTCAGCATAGCTGACTTAGTGGTAGCTTTTTTTCAAGTGCTGCCTCAACTCATATGGGATATTACAGATGTTTTCATAGGGCCAGATTTCTTGTGCAGAATTATCAAGTATCTGCAATTGCTAGGCATGTTTGCCTCTACTTATATGATAGTGGTCATGACAGTGGACAGATATCAAGCAGTTTGCTACCCTATGGTCACTTTCCAAAAGAGGAGAGCTCTGTGGAATATTCCCATTTGCACCAGCTGGTCTATATCCTTAATTCTTAGCCTACCACAGGTATTTATCTTTTCTAAGACTGAAATATCTCCAGGTATCTTTGAATGTTGGGCTGAATTTATTCAACCGTGGGGTCTAAAGGCGTACGTGACTTGGATTTTTGTAGTCATATTCTTCATTCCCTCGACCATCCTTATCACATGCCAAGTTAAAATTTGCAAAATAATCAAAAGAAATATACATGTGAAAAAACAGAATGAATATGAAGTAACGAATCAGAAGCAAGTCCTGCCATCCCGAGCCAGCAGTGTGAACTGTATTTCAAAGGCTATGATCAAGACTGTAAAAATGACAGTGGTAACAGTTGTTGCATATGTTCTCTGTTGGTCACCATTCTTCATTGCACAGCTGTGGTCTGTGTGGTTCCCCAGTGGCATTACTGAAGGTAAGAAATTCTCTGTCCTTTATAATAACTTCATGGCAAACTAATCCATTGCTACATTGCTTCATATGTGGACTTTGCTTTTGTGTAAAATTTACGATAGCATTCTGATTTGTGAATCATTTAGCTACTATGCTGATTTACATACAGAGAACTTTACATACTATGTGATGAAAACCTTATGAAAGTATGTATTTTGTGTATGTGTTTTGAGTGATGAATGATACAAAGATTAGTAAACAGCACAGTGAAAGTAATGCAGCAGGGCTTCAATTCAGACTTTTAGAGGCTTTTGGATATTACAGCAGCAGCATTTGGGGCTCTTGAAAATAAATAGTTAACTACTCACAGTAATGAAAAAAGCATTTGTTAGTCTACGGAGCAATGGTGCTATAAGAAATCTGATTTTTAACTTCAATGTTGAAATTATTTTGATGAAATATCTGTGGTACACTGTGAAACGATCAGAAGTTGTGAAACAGCTCTTTTTAAAGCAAAAAAAGAAAAGCAAATGTAGGAAAGACATCAAAGAACACCATGCTGAAACAGGATTAATCTTGTCAGACTTGTACTATTGCCTCTTTGTAAAAGGCAGACGCTGTATATGACAATTTAAGTTCACCTATTGAAAACTCAAAGATACATAGACATAAAATAGATACATACATTAAAAAACCCCTGATCTTTGAGAATTCTTTCTAACTATGTGAATTTGAGTATTAGTCTATATGTGTTTACATCAATATCTATATCTCTATTTGTTTCTACCTGTATAGCAGGTTTGCAATTGATGTTAAATTTAAAGCAGCTACACCAAGCAAAGAGCTATATGGAAATATTTAACTCTGAAAAGCATACAGTATGCTTCGTAACTTATACAATTACTGCACTGAATGTATGAGGATTTCCCAGTGTTACTGTAAATTTAAGATTTGAATAGGTACATCAGAAAGCATCAGGCAGTGAAAATGTTACTTCCTTATATGAATGTACGATTCTGTGGTTCTTTGGTTCTGTGAATACTTTATTTACTCTGTTACTCCTTTAACTATTTCCTTCCAGGATCAGCATTCACCATTATCATGCTTCTCGGCAATTTAAATAGTTGCACCAACCCGTGGATTTACATGTATTTTTGTGGCCACATTCCATATTGCACAAATAAGCAGCTGGAGAACACATCAGCTCAAGAGGAGTCGGTGGTCACAGGAAGCATTCATCTTGTAGACAGAGACCCTGAGGAAAACAGTACTTGTGCATAAATACTGAATGTTATTTGTTATTCTGCTACATTTGCTATGTTCACGAGACTTATCAATATTTTCTAGTACTGAAGCTGGAAAATTGTCTTTTGTTGCTATAAATATGTTTTTCTGTGGTTCTGTAGCATATGCAGAAGTTTCTGTGTTGTACAAGCTTGACCCAATACTTCTATCCTCACTGTGTTATCAAAATGAATTGCTGTATAGATTGATAAAGATACAGAAGGACAACCTGGATATTTTGTGTCTTACACTACTACTGTGATTCTGGATCTCTAAGCACCTTTTTTTTTTACAACCTGCCCAACAAATTGAGAGAAAGTTGCAGAAGAATCTGACAATTAGATTTAAATATGTGCTTAAACTGAACTTTAAATTGGTTGTGACTCTAAAGCGAGTGGGGCATGGTTTGGCAAATCTTGAGAAGGCAGCAGAAAGTCAGAAAAATCAATTGCCATCTGTAAGTAGTACCTGTTATATACATTTGTAAAACACTGAGCAGCTTTATGTCCTCCTATGGAAAATAACTCAGTGTCCTTGTGAGTGTGAACAGCTATTTCGGTTTCAAATGCAGTACAGTGACATTCCAGGTTTGTGGCTTCCTCTTACATCGCCATCAATACAGGACGTGATTTTCCCTGCCTTCCATGTTGGCTGAAACTCTCCACACTTATACACACATATATATGCCTTAAATAGAAATGACTGCCATGGGTGTACACTTCTATTTGGTATTCTGTGTATTTTTGTGCAGGTTGTATTCAGACTCATTTGTTCTGGTATGTGATTTACTGACGGTGGGCTAGGACCTATTCAGGTTCAAATTCAATCATTTCACCTCTTTGGTAAAAATAAATCTGCATCTCTTTCTTTCAGAGCTCCTTTTGCTTTCTAGTGTGTCAATTTTTTATTCAGGAAGCTATTTCCCTTTCAGTGTCTAAATTTTGATTAGAGCAGTATGGAAGGAATATTAGAAAAGCTCTTTCAGGTGAAAAAAGAGCTGCATTTTCAGAGATTCTTGGCAATGCTTGCACATTTGCCTACGTTATATCAGTGTTTTGTCATTGCTATTCACAATTCATTTTATAAATGCTAGCTATCTCAAATTTCAGTGGAAAAGATACGAGTGTTTTTCAAATAGCCTTTAGGTTGTACTGAAAGTAATTCTGAGTAAATACTGATTGAATAGTTACACTATAAGTTTGTGTGTGCTGATACTGAATATTCTATCATTTCCATTCCCCATGTAGTTGGAGCATACAAGGGTACTAACCAAATATTGCAGTTCCTCTTGATGGAAGAAGCCAGTGCTCCAGTCCAACTGGCCAGGGTAAGGTTCCAACAAGAAGGAAGAGAAAAAAGTTGGGTGAAGATATGCCAGAGCTAGACAGGAGTGGGATGGCTGTAAAATGGTTCTTCCAACTGCCAATGTTTTGTTTTGGCTTTTATGTTTTTTTCCCCCATCCCTCTCTTTGATTAACGGTTACTAATTCTCCCCCAGAACATATTCCAAGTTAGAGCAATTATTAACTTAAACAATATCCTTATTTGGAGTATGAAGATCCAAGATGTAATCTGTACTGCCAATAAGATATTTGTTGTATTAAACCGCTCATGTTCCAGAACTTTCTTTCAAACAAGCTCTCAGTTAGGTTCTCCCTTCTGACTTAATCCAGGGATTAAAATTTTTTCTTTTGTCCTTCTGGTTCCTTTGATTGCAGTGAATTATGTGGTAAAATATGCAGTGTTAAAGGCCAGTGTAAGAAGAAAGGCTTCAGGGAATTACCTATGACCTGGTACTACTGGGTTTGCAGAAAAACACATTGAAAGACTTAGAAAGTATATATATTCATCCATGGCTATCACTCAACCCTGACAGACACTCTCAGTGAGGAGTTCGATCTTGGCTGACAATTTTCTGTAAAAAAATTTCAAATGATGTAAAAAAAAAATACTAATAACTCTTTTTATTTTTCTAGCTCAGTGTTTTTAACAGGACATTTCTTAAAGAAACAGGCATTTAAAAATATAACAGATGTCTTCCCTCTGCAAATTTGGACTTTGGTTTTCTTGATTGTTATAGTCTGAAAATCTTGTGCCCTCATTATCCCCTGTATTTTGATTCTTTAGTTGGACTGTATCTTTCCTAATTCACTGTCACTTTGATTTCCAATAGGAGTTAAAGTGTTTCATTAAGAGTGATGATTCTGAGGCATCCCTGTTGTCTGGCCAGGGTGTTTAATCCATACAGGAGAATCAGCAACTTGAACCTGCAAGACCCTGGAGGTATTGTGGAAGCACACACAAATGAAAAAAATCCAGTGATCAGATGAAAGCCTTCCTTATCAATGCTTAGACCCTGATTTCTCACAGTAATTAATTTCTGAGAAGGAAAATGCAGTTTGCAAGTTCATGCATGAACTGAACAGCTATGTTGTTGATATTGGCAGTGCAGCATAATTTCTGGATATGTGGCTTTGCTTATTTGTTGTTTTTTCTTGTTATGTTTCTTTTCTTTTTTCCCTAGGTTTTGTTACCACTTAGAAAAGGCAGAGTTTGGTAGAAAGTATTATATTCTTTCCTAAAAACTACCTTTTTTTTTTTGTGATAGAGGTAGATAAGAATGTAAGATAATGTGATCTGTCAGTTCTGTGTGTATTTATTACAGGGAAAAAACAAACACAGAAACAACAAAGTAGGAGAATGAAAGGAAAATCCAACATGTTTTGCAGTCTTCTCAGCATGTTTTGAAAATTTTGTTATTCAACAGAATCATTTTTGTTTTTTTCATAGCTAGTTTCAGCTCCGGTGTTTGTAATGGTGAATAGTGAAATCAGAAGTTTGGATGTTAATATTTATCTTTAATCTTTCAGTGAAAAGATACTGGCAAATTTTAAAGATGGTGCCTTACCAATGCCCTGCCAATTTCACTTTGATCACTGACAGTTACTGATTATCAGGTCAAATGAAGTGCTCCTGTCTCTGTATTAGTGAAGGAAGACTGGCAGCATGAAGTGCAGATCCAAGCTGGAGATGGCAGTCTGTTGTAAGAAGCAGATGTGGCATGCAGACATGGCTGTATTGTCTAGCTCCCAAACACACGGCCGGGACAGAAGTATTCTCAAGAGCATGCAGAAGTTCACAGTTCTTGGCTAAGGAATATCATGTTCAGACAAAGGCAAAGGAAGGTGATCCAGTTGTTCAGTTCTTAAAGTAACATGCAGTTTGGTTTAGATTACTTAGAAGCAAAAAAAAAAAAGACAAAGCCATTTTTTGTTGCCTTCCTAAGTTGGGGATTTGGCCATGCATAGTCTGGGCCATGGACAGGAAGCATGCGTGATTGTAAACTCAATGATTTACATATGGGGCAAAACAGTATTGCAAATGAAAAGAACTTCAAATGGCTATTGTGTGGCAGTAAGGTGATCATGAATCATTTATTTACTACTGTACTGGCCAATCTGTATAGAACTGAACTGAAGACGAACTTCTAAGAAAATTGAAAGTAAAACCTCATATAATTTCTGATCTCACATTAAAACTGATGCTGCCATCCTAAAACCCACCTCCCCTGTCCAACAGACTCATCTCTGCCCTTAAAGTGCTAAGCAGAGCCTCGTGATCCACAGTACTGTGAATGAACTTTGCCCACCCTTATCTCTTGTGAAGGTGCCCCACGTTGTCCGCACTTGACCTCTCTGAAATAAAAGTATAACAGCTGTGTCCTATTCCTGCGCTTATAGAAGTCTCCTGCTATTGCCATGTGAGGAATTTTTGGGGGTCATCTCACTAAGAAAGCAAATTCTGGGTATCTGTACAATCCCTCTGTAAAATCTATATTCATTTGCATTTTCACAGGAACAAAAAAACAATGGGTTTTGAGTGAAACTAAGAAAGTCATACCCATAGCCTTCTGATTCCTTTTATTGCCAGCAGAGAGACCAAAGCAGATGCCTTCTAACATTAAATAATAGTAACCAACTTCATTAACCTATGTTATTTTCCGGTCCATAATGTACTTTGGAGCTGCTGAAACTCTAACCAAAGTGTCCACCCAGATGTTGCCCTAGTTATGCAGTGCAAACACATCTATGTGATGTGATAGTTATAAAATGCTTTTTGTATCATGGCTGGCATTCTGAAAGTTCTTCAGAATTAGGGAATTATTTTTCTTCGCTCCTTTCACTACACTCACCAAAACTTAAGATTAGTTTTTGAAGTTGTACATTCCAGCAGCAAATCTGAATTTGCATCAACATCAGGAATCAGTAAAACCTTGTGGAGGAAGCACTTCAACACAGTTTGGGAAATAAATTTTGGAAAAATCATTTGACCCTGAAGATCTATGGAAATTATGTCTGTGCAATGGGATGCAACTAGTGAGAAGATATATTCCTTTACACCCCGGTAACAACTTGTCAAGGGAATTCATGTGGTAACAGAAATGAAAAAGTTATGAGAAAAGTCTGATGTTATTGTTGTTGTTTTCATCATCACTGTCTTATCATTTTTATCATCGTCATTGTTATCATCATCACCACTATTATTTAAATAAAATCAACATATAACCTACGTTAACTTTTAAGTAAATTACAAATTTGGCAGAGTATAACATACAGAGAGTACTTCTGGAGCTGAATTAACAAAAAAAGCATGATTTCAATCACAAATGCCACTTTTATTTCTGATGTTGCTTGTGTTGCTAATTTAGTTAGATAACAAACAGATATATTTAATTTCGTTCTGAAATTAACATTCTAGCCAATGAATTCCATAAAGTGACCCAAAGAAAAATGTTGTCACAAAACACTAAAAATGAATTTGCTTTTTATATACTTCATCACGTATACATTAAAGCAAATTGTTACTGGTCTTGTATGCCTCGTTTATTCTTGAGTTCAGTTACTATCTATACCCTTAACTTTGAAGAGAGACTAGGAATACGGTCACAGTAGCAATCACAGTATGCTGAAATTGTGTGCCCATGTCTCTAAATGTGTTAATGGATGTCTGGCTTCAAGTAGTATAATGCTGAGTGGCTCCAGCTTTTGACTTACTGTTGGGAAAAATTGTAGTTCATCACTGAGAATGCAAGCCTTCTGGCAAGCAGTCATGATGTGAAAACACTGCTTATTGATACATTTAATACAAATTCCACTCTGTTGGTAATATGATTCATATTCTCGATCCTCTGTTGAACAAGACTGATGAAATCTCGTGTTCTGAGATGTCACATGTTCAGCTGTAACTGTTCACAAAAAATGTTAGCAAAACCTCAGGAAAGAAATCTTCATTTTCTTCTCAGCACCTGGGTATCTTGGCTTTTAATGCATTTTCTGTAAAAAGAAGAGATTAAAAACTCCTTCATAGCATCTGGGCTTGATGTGTTTTTCCATTCCCACAGAGCAGGAATACTGGATTGTATGACACATGCACAGAAATTATATTAAAGGAATGAGATGATGGAAAGTCAAACACTTAGATCTCCAGAAGTGCCTGAATGTCAGTATACATGGCTTAATACACCCCTTAATCACATGGAGCTGCCTCTGGGCAGCCTGGCTGCTTCTACAGGTCACAGATAAAGCATGCACCGCAAGAACAACTTCCCTGACATTTCCGTCCAGTGAAGATTTGTGGGGACCAAATAGGAGTAAGATGTAATATAAAAGTCCCCTCAGCATGCAATAAAACTGTATGTGCACTAAGATACACACTGGGTAGTTGAAGGATGTTATTTTTATTTAGACTGCCAACAGTGATAAAAATAGATGACTGAAAATAGACCACATGTTATTAACTAGGCTGTCTGCCTGCAGACATGCACACACGGTTTCAGGTAATGCCTGCACTGAAAACACCAGCAGAAGCATATGTGATTGGGCACAAATACAACAAAGCAAATGACGATCACACTGAAAGTTGATTCCGTTTTTTAGCACATAGGGATGTCCTACAAAGGTGTGCTTTTTCACTTTTTCACCTCTCCCCCATTCTGTGGGACTGAGGGAGAAAATGGCACAGCCGTGCATCTCTGATGCTGGATTTGTTAGATTATGAATTTCCAAGTATTTCCAGGGAGTGACTGACAGAGGCCCTCTTTGTCTTCATTTTGCCAACACATCATAAAGAAAGCACATCTAAGCCCAAAAACATCAGTGCAGAAAATTTGTAGAGGAAGTCAGTCTTGTGCTTTGCATTTAGAAAATCTAAATGCACACAAATGATAAGTAAGAGGAATGCAGTACAAATACCTCTCTGGTATATACTCAAAATATTTTTTCAACTGCCACAGCCTTTTTCTTTTGACCCACTTTTGCCACAATCCCACCTTTATCTGATACTTTTAGTAGAGGCTCCCTAATGATTCTGTGATAGATTTTCTTCTGTGTGATAGATTTTGTTCTGCTGGGAATGAGACAGTTAAGCTCATTTTACTCACAATTTAAGTAAAGACTGTCTCTAAGACACAAGTGTTGAATTTTGTTTTAATTACCCCGGGACTTCATAAAAAATACATTTTAAGTCCCCAAAATGCAGGAATCAGGTTGAAAATCCAACTTATGTATTAATTCAGTAGATTCAAATTTTCCTTTAATAAAGATTCTTTTATATAAATCAAAGCAGATGAGAGGAATATCGTAAATGTAACATGAGGGCAGTCCGACTGAATTTTAAACTGTGTTGAGGCTCAAAGAATAAATTTATTGATACAAAACAAAGAGTTAACACAAGATTTTGATCAAAAGAAATACAGTATTTTATGTGCATTATGTATAAATTATATAGAGGCATAAAAGAATTATCCCTTGAATGCTATTGAATAGGGATGTATATTTCTAACATAAGTCCATCAGACTGTAATTAAAAAAATCAATGTAAAAATAGGTGTCTTTACATGTTAAAATGCACAAGTTGTAACACTGCTTTTTTTCTGTACCAATCTCCAGAGCTAAAATGTCGCCTCAGTCCTCAGGTTAAGAAATCAACCGATTACAAGCTCATATTTGTATTTGTGTCTTAGACAGAGAGGTGGATTCACACAAAAACTTGAGAATTGAACTGCATTCAAATTGTTCATCAGCCTCCTTCATCTGAAAGAGACAGAAATTGTGCAAACATTGTTATTTATCCTAGGAATTTCAGGATTTCTATTAACACTGAACACTATGGAAATTATTATAAATATGCTATGAAACTAGCAGGAAGTGTAACAGTATAATAGGGTAGCATAATCATTTTATCAGAAAAATTAATGCCTTAGCACCTTTACATTATTATCAAATGATGGCTTACCATGTAGTAATGAGAATGCAAAAATAGAAATACGTAAAAAAAAAATGCTTTTAAACTCTGCTACTTTAAATTCTACCTTCACACAATGCCTCAGAACTCCCAAAATTTGTAAGTTAGTTTTATTAATTCAAGTTATTTCAAAATGTCGCACTCCTCTGGTGTAAATGGTAATGTAAATGATTCAGATGACTGCTCATTACTGACACCAGCTTTTAAACCTGACTGTGCTCCCCAAGGCATACTGGGCGGTCAGAATTTGAATGATCACCAAGAGATGAAAATGCTTAGTGTGTGATGTGATGGAGATGTTAAATCAGAAAACTGGCCTTATTTTAAAAGAAAACCTACAAAACCAGGTAGCTTAATCTGAACCAAAGTTTGAAAATGATTATTTATTTTTTACAGTTTTTGACAAATTCTGCATTTAACAGAAGGGTAAGTTGGAAGAGTTTCTTATAAAGCTTCTTCCAGTTCGGTGTTATTTTGGATGAAACTATTTGGTACAAGTTTCAAAAATCC